CTCGCCGCTGCCCACGCCGCAGGCGCCGCGGGTGGAGCTGCAGGGCGCCGAGCTCTGGAAGCGCTTCCACGAGATCGGCACCGAGATGATCATCACCAAGGCGGGAAGGTAACGGGCTCCCGCCGGGCCGCCACCCCGGCTCTCCGCCCGCGGCGGGCGGGCACATCAAAGCGGGCAAAAACCGGGGGAGCACCCCCACACCCCCCAGATTTACGAGGCAGGTAGATGGCGATAATTTTAGGTGGGCACGGGAGCATGTGGCGTTTCGGGTTTCCTGTTCATTAGAGCGAGCGAGGTCTGGGCGCACTGTGTCCTTCGGAGGGGAAACTTTTCCCCTTTCCAGTGGATACACATGGTAAAAACCTGGGTAGTATAAAAGTATCTGAACTTATTAGAAATTACAAAAACATATTTTATTGAATCCATATGCTACCTTCTACATTTTCAGAGAGGCTTTATTAATGATTGAAACGCAGTCTTAAACAGCACAAAGCAACATTTGTCTTAAGAGAGTCCAGTCGGGGATTTTCTGTTTTATCTTACAGGTGCACTGAAATAACAGCGAAAACTAGTTAACCGCAGTCGGGTTTACCTTCCTGCTTATTCAGAAATAACGGAGATAGGATTTTTCTTTCCAGTAACGACTTTTAATTGATTTATAGATTATTTATTATTATTTATTATTATTATTTAGAACAGCAGTAAATACTGAATAAACTGGAATAGCTTTCAGGTTTATAAACCACAGAAAAGTACCTTTCATTAGCTTGCAGTCAGATGGTCACTAGGACATGGATTTGTTAGTGGTGTTTTTTTAGTTTTTTTTTTTTTCCCTTGACTTCAGGAATGAACTTTCTTGATAAAAGGCATACCAAATGTGAGCTAAGAAGTGCATTTTTGCGTTAAAAACGCCACATCGGTTATTTACTCCGTTTTCTCCGCAGAAGGATCTAAATCGTGAACGTTTGTTTGGTGGTTTGGTTTTTTTTAGAAATTACCTCGTAGATTCGTTTCTGCTTTCAATAAAGAAGTTTTACTATACCTTTCAAAGACAGAGTAGCTCTTGCACTTCACCTTTAGTAAGTTGCAGACAGGAAGTCCCGTCTCAATAAAGACCATATTGTTGGGTTACAGCATGGCACGTTGGCTTTTATAACTGCATCCTTGCGGTGTTATAATTGTATCACCGTGTATTTAGCTTTCTCATTTGCTGCTACAGAAATGATACACCATTTGCTGCTGTCAGTTGAAACCTCAGTGGCAATTTGCATTTCTGTAAGTATTGCTCTCCCTGGGTGGAAGTGGTGTTTGCACATCTCCAGAAATATATTTCTACCTAATATCTCAAACGGGCTTTAAATGATTGTACTGCTAAAGTCAGGTCTCAAACCCAAATGATTTACTGTCTAACAATAAAGTTGAAATGATGTGGTAATAGCTGTACTCCCAAAGCGTATCCCAAAACATACGAAGCATTGTTCGAATAAATGCACTTTAGAAATCTGTTTTGACATATCGAATGGGCCATTTCATGGCTATGTAACTATAATCGTCCAAAAGGACTATGTAGGCTAAAAGGAGGAACGAGAAAAATCCCACGAACCGGTTACTTTTCCTAAACAACCGTTCTCGAGTCTGTTTCATATTAAACATGACCTCTCTCTTTCCATGTTCAGGCGGATGTTTCCCGCAATGAGAGTGAAGATCTCAGGTTTAGACCCACATCAGCAGTATTACATTGCTATGGATATTGTGCCAGTGGATAACAAAAGATACAGGTATGATGACTTTAAGGCAAAAAACATATGATGCAAGCCGTAGGGAGCTTGGCTATTGGAAGAAAACATTAACACTATATAAATTAGCAGAAGGTCGTGTTTAACTCTCCTTCAGATTCCTATCTCCATCCCAGTGCATTAAAAAAAAAAATTGTGTCAAGTATGCAAAACCAACTAAAATTTCTGTTGAACCTCTTTCTACGTTTGCCTTATTTTGTGTATCTACTGCAGGCAGATGCTGAGGTTTTGGCTTTCAGAGAATCCTGACCACCGTTCTAGCGTGGTCAGGAAATGTTACTGTATTTTATTCCTCATCATGTCAGTGGGAGTTATTTCCTATTAACAAATAAATATGGAAATGCACATTCTTCTAGTGCTAAATGACATTAGCATTAATAACAATAGCATTGATGTCCAATTTAATGGCATATAAACTTTCTTGGTCATGCTTCAAACTGATGATGTAACTTTAAACTGTTTATCACTCAGATATTTGGTTGCTTAGATTCACAAAGAATAGTGTTTCTAATTACCGTTTCTTGAAGAATTAATGGCTTTATTGTCTGAAGAATAACGTGAGGAGCAAAAGTAGTTGTTCTTCAAACATTTAAGAGTAGGGATTCCATTCTTGCTGTTTCGAGGTAGTCGTGTTTCGAGGGAGCTACTTGTACTCTGCTGAAACCACTGGTCCTGTAGAAATGCTTGCAGGATTGGGCCCACAGCAGTTATTATTCTGAGTTGTAGATGTTTTGTAGGTCTTGCTTTACAGGTGCGATCCCATGCTTTGTAGTAGCCAGGAGGAACCTGGCCAAGTAGTTCAGTGGAGGCAGGATCAAGTCCTTACCAATTGCTGGTTTGATTGTTTCAACCCTATACTTAGCATAATGTAGGGAAAACCACTGCAGATTTAATTGTAGAACTAGGAATATTCCAGACTAAGACTAAAAGGTTTGTTCTCCAGGAATGCCGCCTTGTTTCCTAAGCAGGCACTGCCCCGTGGTTTTTGCGTGTCCTTACCTCATTGACTTCAATTTTGTCCTTTTCGTGCGGTGTATAAGCCATTTCTTAGGACCATTTTAGATTTTGTGCTTTTCAACAAGGTGCAGATAGCAGTGCTGAGGATGTCCAGTGCATACAGTTAGGGGAGGCTTTTATGACTGTACCGTAGAGAAAAAAATGCTTTTTTCTTTGGACCAGTGCAGTGCAGCTCAAATGAAAGCCCTTTTCTCGCTTCGCGTTGCACGTGTACATTTACTTAGCAGGCATATCATTCCTAGAAGTTCTGAGCAATTCCTTAATTCATAGAGAAAGTGAGGTAATTATTCCAAATTGAATAAAAATGTTAATACTAAAAATTAAAAACAGTTATATTGAATATAAGTTGTTTAAAACTCATTTCATTTAAAATAAATAACAGTCATAATGAACTGCACTGTCTGTCCAGTGTGGTATGTGGTGCCCAGATAACTGAAGTAACTTAAAAGTTGCGTAAAGGGCAGTATTAGCTGGCAAACTTAAATTTCACTAATCATGTACTAGTACCATGCCTTTAACCTTCCTGCTAAATATTGTTTCACGTTTTACTTGATTCCACTTTTTGTTCTCTGTTGTGCAATCTGTGATTTATTTTTTTTTTATTGCTGACTGTTGTAACTTTGGCCGTTCATGTGGCTTTACAAACCGTCTTGCAGATCTTTAGATCTGAAAGATAGAACAGCAGTCACATACAGACCTTAGTCTTTAGCTGTCATAGCTGATAGCAAAACTAAATGAAAATGAAGGAAACTATAGCTAGGTCTGGATTTCTAGCAAAATGGGACCTTGTAAATATTTGGAAGCTAAAGCTGTTGCTCAAAATATTTTAAGTGTATTAATGGCTTTATTTACTTTAATAAGGAAAGCATGTATTTAGTATAAACCAACAAATATAAAATAAATGAAAAACATTGCAACGGTTGACTGTGTGATCTGGGGTTGAGAATTTGCCTCCAGAAGAGAATTTCACCACCATTCTAGATCTTAGCTTTACAGCTTGATATGAATTGTAAGGAGCGATGTGTGTATTCGATCATTTTGTTTTCATTTCCATTTCCGTTGTTTGTCATTTTCTAATAAGGAACTGAATTGTACAAAGAAATGATAAAGTCACTCTTGTTTTTATTTAAAAATATAGCTGAATTACTGGAATTTTACTGTACTTGAAAAAAATACCTTGAAGTTTTTAATTAGTTTGTTTTAAAACGCTCTGTGAAGCATCTGCCTTCAAAATAAGTTTTCTACCAAAGCAGGCACTATTTTTATTAGAAAATTACTTTGTCAGGGTTGGCCTATCAGATGAAATACGGGCTCCATTTTTTCATTTTTAAGCCTCTCTGCAATACTATTGAAGAAAATTAGTATGAGCTTACAGAACTAGCAAAAGCGTAGTTTGACATAGTTTCATTATTTTTCCCAATCATAATGTTCTTTCCCTTCGTTAGCTTTATTTATAGACTCTTATATTAGACTCAACATGTTAAATATTCCAAATATGGAATTACTACTCAATTTGATGAATGAAGGACTAGATTCTTCCCTGTTTCCTGATGCCTATTCAGAGCAGAGCTGTAGCAATCAATGAACTGACACCCGCTTGAAGCTCAGTGTGGGGCTAGTGTTCAGGCTGTTACTGATTTTTAAGAAGATTAAGGTCAGATCAGAACATAGATTGTAACCATACTTTTTCAGATACTGGAACTGAAAAAAAAAGCTTTTATTTATTGTCCTTTAATGTTTTGTTAATTGGTGGGTTCTTGCTGTATGTACGGGCCCTACTTTTTAAATACTGAATGGGTCCGATAAATTATTTCAGGTTTTATGGTTAAAGGTAATTTATTTTCTTTTTATAGATACGTTTATCATAGCTCCAAGTGGATGGTGGCTGGTAATGCTGACTCCCCGGTACCGCCTCGTGTTTATATTCACCCCGATTCACCTGCCTCTGGGGAGACGTGGATGAGACAAGTGATCAGCTTTGACAAACTGAAGCTTACCAATAATGAGCTGGACGATCAAGGGCATGTGAGTACTTGCTCTTTTGTGGTATTATATGTAGGCGCGTTGCTCAGTCCTAAAAGACTGACGTACAGCTTCAGGGTGCCAGAAATAGGCTTGACTTTTCAAAGCTGTTTTGGAACTTTACTGTCCAGATCTAAAATCTGCTTACTTTCTGCTCCGATAATTAACTGCTTATTAGAGCCTGCTGTTTTACTCCCCCCTCAAAAACAGAACTCCTTCTGCAAAGTAAGACTTTACAAGGCTAAATTGCCTAATATGAAGGGGCAGAATTGCTCTCATGTTTTCCCACCAAGTGTGTTACTTGCAACTTTTGCTTCGATCAAAAAGGACGCTTAAATTCACAAGTGGCTAGAAGAAACATTAATAGTGTGTAATAACTTCATGTGAATAAAAGTACACTTAACTATTTTCTTAACCTAAACATTTGTGTGAAATCCCATGAGGTGTTAATAATTGCAGTCAAAAACGAACAACATGGGAGCTGGGTTTGCTCCGATAATGATTTATTACATACCTTATGAAGCAAGACCCTTTCACAGCTGAGGCTCATTACTTCTGAAAAAACTGGCGAAGACGTATGCAGTATGAGTGTTCTGTTTGCAAGTTCTAAATTGTTTAGTTATGACATTATCTAATGTGACAAAATGTGTTATGTTAATATTTCCTTTTCTCTTCAAAACTGTTGAAACATGACAGATGTAAGCCAGTATCTTTCCAGCAATCCCTAAAATAGCTTTACTTGACACCTTAGGAAATAATTAAAAAATGACGATTGTTTTTAGTCAGGGTAAAGTCTTTAATTTTGCAAAATTTTATAATAAATGGCAAATGTTGGCTTCCTTGCAGAAGGAGCATTGAGTTCCAAGTGGTAGAGTTTTAAGATGTGGAGGCAAGTTTTGAGACAGGATGTGGATTCCATTGTCTTTAGTGTAGCCTGATTTTTTTTTAACCAGGATACTTTCTCCTTCATGGAAGGGAGTGAAAGAAAATGTACCTGGCACAGAATACAACAATATTACATGCATCTTTCAGTATAGTTGTAACTTTGTGATGTTAAGCCAGGTATTTTGTCAATACATAGTCCAAGTTTAAGTATGAGATTTCCTCCCCCCCCCCCCCCCC